TAAAGCTTAAAAAAAATAATTTCAACTATTATAAAAAAAGTAGTTAAAAAACTTTGTTAATAAATATAAAAAAGTTTTTTAAAAATGATATAAAGCTATTGTTATACTATTGTAATAAAGTGAAAGAAGATTATAAACATAATATAGAAAAATAAAATCTCAAGAAATAAAATCATTAGTAATATAATAGATTCTAAAAAAGAAAATGATTGTTTTATGCTTAAAAAAAGATATTAAAGAACATATATTTTAGAGATAATATATACTTGAAAAAAGTTATTAAAAAATAGATAATGTAAAGAAAAGAATTGTCACATTTTTTAATTTATTTAATAGAACTTCGAGATATTTATAACCATAATCTATAAGTATAGTTAAAGAATAATTCAAATTACAGTATATAAAAAGTAAAATACTATTTTTAAGTTGTATTTAAAGAAGATAAACTTTAATGTTAGGTGAACAGATATATAAAAATTATTATTTATTTTTTTAATACAAAATAAAAACAAGAACTATAGTATATAATTATAACAAGCTATTTAAAAAAAATTTAATATAAAGGTATTTTGAAATTTATATAATTTGAATATAAACTATATTATATAACTGTTTTATCCAAGAAGATTTAACAATTAGATTATAATAAAATCTGGCAATATGCTATATATACATACAGTAACAGTAATTAAAAAAAAAATTAATATATAAAGTATTAGTAAGAATAATTAAAACAAATAAGCAATTTAAAAGTTGCATATAAGATTGGTAATAAAAAAATAATGTACTGTAAATAAGTCGTGAAAAAGAAATCATCATAATAATCACAATTTGTAACGTCATGTGAAATCGGGTAGATCCAGTGTTCTAACCTCTCATTTATGTACCATAATGATAATAAAGAAAAACAGATTACAATTAGCACCGGCGCGATTATTCTCATTGTTGAACCCATTTGCTCAAAACAGAAAAGAAAAAAAGAAAAAAAAAAATGAGAGAGAGAGAAAATGAGATAATCTAAGAGCTAACAATCTTTGTGGTAAATTGAAAGAAGGCAACGTTAAAATTAACCAAAAAAAATAAAAAAATTACGCACGTCCCTATTGTTGTAAAAAAAAAAAAAAAAAAAAAAAAAAAAAAAAATTCTTTCTCATAATTCTTTGCAAGCAAGTGTATAGCGTATGGTGTGTATCGTAATGGTGCATCAATTACGAAGGACTAACTAAAATTTTGCCAAGGTTTGATGATTATCTCGCATCGGAAGGTGTATGGACAAATGACATACGTACAGCGTTATCTACCATACATAATTAGTGTAGAGGAATCAAACAAATTTCATTTTTAACTATTGCCACATACTGTAAAAAAAAAAAAAAAAAAAAAAATGTTTAACCAAGAATAGAGTTCATTTATTTTATCTTATCTCAATCTTATCATTTGTAGAATCAGGTTTGTAACGCAACGCATAAATATTTTAAGCCTCATTTTGTTTAGTGTTAATGTTATAATTCTCGTATGATTCGAGAGTCGAGGTCAGGTTTTTGATTTATGCGGTTACACCGATGTCAACATAATATTACATCAGCGAGTCCTCTGCGATTCTCGAGAGCATCGATGTCATTTTCAGAAGGAAGGACTTGAATTTGGTCGCGAGGTTCGAGGTTCCTGTGACAGGGTCAATGACCCGGTGATGTATCATTCTCCGTGGTGTCAGCGCGGAAAAAATTTTACAATGTGACGAGCAAATGCACACAGATTCTTTGATAAAAATTTTGATCATCTGTGCGAGTAAACAAGTGCTTTCGCCCAAATAAGGAAATTATAAAAGCGGGAGTGCATCATTATTTACTTCTCCGCTTCGATTGTTCGCAAGCACAAAATCGGTTATGAAATGTTACCACCATTAGGTAATAATGCACTGTGGTGCCGAAGAAAAAAAACTAATAATAATAATAAAAAAAGATGCGTGCACACATTTTTTCTGAGTCATATATTACGGGAACAAGAATACCAATTGCTCGTATGATCACAAACTCTTGGCACCCTTTTTTATTGGCATACATGATCATAGGTGGCATGTATGTGCTTGAAAAACGTTTCACCAAGGATACCTCAAACAATACGTAATGAACTCAAATGGCAATGGGGAGTACGAATTAGTACAATTATGATCACGAATGACATTAGAGTCTTCTATGATGTATATGTGGCTGATTGCTTTGATCAACGCAACTTTCGCCTTATCCATCATGTGACAAGTTCCATTTTATGGCAATATACGTTCGTAATAGAAGAATAAGGTGGCACGAGATCGACATTGACCGCCTGGAAGTGGAAATCCATTGGCGTGATGCTATTGCTATTGAAATAAATATTGCATATTTTGAATACATATTCTTTGTTATATTGTACTCGTGACAACGTTCAATCAGTTTCAATATATAAACACACATTTCGGGCTACCAATATTCGCAAAAAAAAAAAAAAAAATTCATCAACAAAAAATTCACTTTCTTGCTACAAGTATTTTTTTTCTTGAAAACTTTCATACTTAACTTCTTGTCAAAAAGAGATGGTTCACCTGTTTCAAATTCGATTGGAAGATGACACCCTTACGATGCGCGGTACGCAATCGGAATCGGTTGGGTGTGTCCTTCGTGGTCAGCTTGTCTTGGCTATTACAGAGCCTACAAAGGTTCGTGAAGTCAAGTTGACTTTTCAAGGAAAGTCAAAAATCTCTTGGGCTGATGGTAATTATCCTTGTGAATGTGTTCATCATTTTTTTCTTTCCTTCTCATGTTATGCATATTCTCATGTGTTCCCAACTTCATCTTTAACACAGGAGCTGGTACCAGACAATATTATCATACAGAAGAAAGAATTTTATTCCAGCACGATTGGATATTCCTCCCGGCTCAAAAGAATGTTCACATTCTTCAGCCTGACAATTATCACTGGGATTTTGAATTGGTTCTACCCGGAACCTTACCTGAGACGGTGGAAAGTTGTGAACACGGAAGCATCAGTTACCAATTGAAAGCTGTCGCCGAAAGACCTGCTCTGGCAATCAACTTCACCACAAAACGTAAAGTAAACATACAAAGATGTCTACTGCCAAGTGAACTGGAATATATGCAAAGCATGATAGTGTCTAATACTTGGACCGATAAGGTCGAATATGAATTTAATGTTGACTCTAAGGTGTATACTTTAGGAGACACAATTCGTGTATCCATGTATTTAAGGCCTTTGAGGAAACATCTGAACATAAGAAAGTTCAGTTGTTTGATCAAAGAATACACCACCTATCACATCGGAGTTCGCTCGAAGGAAGAAACTCGACACGTCACTTGTTACTTTGACGAGGAATTTCCTAACGAAGGCGAACCTTGGACAAGATCCTTTGGTATCACTCTACCCAAATCAATTTCCCTATGTCACTATGACTCTCAAAACGAAATAGTTGACATACGACATAAGATAAAGTTCATCGTATTATTCACGGAGTCGGGGAAGAACCCCTCCGAGTTAAGGGCATCAATGCCAATGGTGGTCACCCCAATCTCTCCCACCAGTGATCGCATGATATTACCAATGTACAGTGAACACCATGATGATCAACTTTTTTGTGACGACATGTCTTCAACTTATTCGCCTCATTCCTCTTCCTCCACCATTTCATCTTCCTCAAGTTCTTTCACCGATGCATCCCTCGAGAATTCAGATTCCCTGCCTTCTTACCGCAGCATAGCTTCTTGTATACCAGCTCCACTAGCTGATCCACTGTTACCTCCTACATATGATAATCTAGTCGCATGATAATTGATATTATAGTGTTAGCTAAGATATTTCTTTAAGAAATTTAATTACTTATGTTTAAGAAAAAAAATTCATAGAGGATTTGACTTAGACCTAATTTTAATATAGAATCAAAAATTATCAACTCCCACTATGAAAAGTAATCTGTAAATATGCAATTCTTGTATAATAATAATAATAATAATAATAAAGTCATGTTTTCCTTATTTCCAGGAAAAAGAAAAGATTACGACTCGGTTTTTTTTTAACATCATGTGAGACACAATTGAAAATTCCGTTCTACGAAATTCGGTCGTACGAAAATCGTGGCTGCAACATGCTTTTTGGAATTCAGTGAAAACATTGCGTAATGTCATCCGGATAAAACAGAAAGCATGAGCATTACACAATCTTTTTTTTTTCAACAATATGGAAACCACAAATTGTGAGTACCTAGTCAACAAAGCCATCGCCGTTATGTTTTGAGGGCGATATTTGGTGCATATTAATGACGCATTGTCAGGCGAATCCCGATGGAGGCAAATTAAGTTATCAAAATGATTAGATTTTTTTTTTTTTTTTTTTTTTAAGCTTTTCATACGAGTGCCACAGGAGGAGAAAATCCTTGCTATTAGAAAAAAAAAAGATATGATGTGATGCGAACTTGCACATACGGTGTACAACTTACGCAGCATAACAAAGCAGTTTTTTCTCGCCACAATGAACCGTTAATATGAAACCCAATTGGAATTCAGCGTCTCTCAATTCTAATTTTAAATTCCTCGAGTCCTGTTATCCTAATTCGTTCGTTACACTTAATTTACATATGGTCAGTCATACAGTTAGTTGAACAAATTATTGGGATTTTTAATTCGGAAGTTTTAGAATTGATTGTGAGCATGGACAAATCGGTCATTGATTCTCTTTCCGTTGTTTCCGCAAAGTTGATTGTTTTATTTTTATTTTTTTTTTTACATTATAATTATTATTCATCGAATGCTAAAAATGACAAGTCCGGTCTTGAAAAAAAATGAGTAGATGCCGATTGGAATTTCAAGAAACCGTATGTCAAAAAATTTTTAATTATCCTCGAATAAATGTAGTTAATGAAATACAAAAAAAGCCACCTTAAATGATATTTAGATGAAACGACTAACGGTTGAGATTAAACATGCAATCAGATTATAATGATGGTTCTACCTTTATTAGGAAGCAAGTTAACTCATCTTTAGTACATTATCGATTTAATAGGCTAAACTATTATCAGCAAGTTGCCAAAGCTAATTAAATATTAATTAAAAATAATGGAGTTGATTAAAAGGAATCGTGTTCATTGACATTTACTACTGTATATGTATTTGTTAATAGACCTGGTTCAAAAAACTTTATTTTTTTTTGCTTTCAATAAAAAAGAATGTTTCTTGATTTTTCTTAATTACTAGAAGTCAAGCTTTTGCTTGAAGAAGAAATAAGAGATAAGTGTATTTCTTTAAAATATTATTCAAGCTAAGAATTAATCAAAAAATCACTAAACTTACTTTTTTAAGTATCTTTTTTTTTTTTTTTGATTGTTTATACTATTTGTTTTTTATTATTTATATAATAAAACTTGAAATACTGTATTTTTTTTAGTTTATAAACTTTAACTTCATATATATTGACAAAGTATTTTTGTATCATTAAATTTACTCTTATCTAAAATATAAAAGCATGAATTTAATTTTTATTGATTAAACTTTTATAAAAATTTACATAGATTTTTGATTTAATTTCTTTTTGAAATCATCAATATCTGCTTTCAAGACAATTCCATTTTCTTTATTATCTATATAACAAAATCTTAGAAATATCATAAAATTCTTTTCATCAAATTTCTTGTTTTTTTATTATTAGAATTTTATGTAGCATATAAATTTATATTCAATATAATTTTATTTGTAAAAAAAATCAATATTGAAATCAGAGATAGTTAAATAAATATTTGTTCATTTATTTAAAAAGGCTTAAAAATTTTTAACATATATATTAGGATTATCTTTTCTCAATAATATAAAAAAATATAAAGCAACAATAAAAGTTTATATATATATATATATATATTTAAAACTCTCTGTTAGGCTAGGTATATATGCTTTATTAAACATATGTATACTTTATATTAGAGAATGTATCGTTAAAGCTAAGTCTCTATTTAACTCATTCATCTCTATTTAATTTACTCATCTCTATTTAACTCACTTATCTCTATTTAACCCACTCATCTCTATTTAACTCACTTATCTCTATTTAACTCACTCATCTCTATTTAACTCACTCATCTCTATTTAACTCACTCATCTCTATTTAACTCACTCATCTCTATTTAACCCACTCATCTCTATTTAACTCACTCATCTCTATTTAACTCACTCATCTTTATTTAACTCACTTGTCTCTATTTTAAAGATTTATTAAAACTCTAAGTACAACTTCAGAAGTGATTTATCGTTCTGTTAGCAGTTTAAGTACAGATCCTTTTAAATGTTAATTTTATTGCCTATAGGTCACTATTGCAAATCATCTTGTGAGGTTCTAACAGAGTTTAAAACCTAACTATTTTATTCTATGCTCCACTTTTCTTATTAGAATTTCTCAGAAACCTTCATTTTCAAGGTTTTCTTCTTCAGATAGTGTATTTTTTTTAGGAGTATAGTTTTCTAACTTAAAAGACATGAAGATCTTCTTGTCTTGTTTTCTCTATTAATTCCTTGTGTTTTTTCTTACCCAATTACCTTTTCGAATCTCTTATTTTGGACTTATTTTCAAACTTGATTACAAATTCTTCTTTATATTTTTAT